CAAAGCCCCAGTAGATAGTTGTATGTCATAGTTGCACATCCTTCTAGTTGCTGTATGTGGGACGTGGCCTCAGCATGGCCGGACAAGCAGTGCGTCGGTGCGCGCCGGGGATCCGAACCCCAGGCCGCCAGTAGCGGAGCGCGCGCACTTAACTGCTAAGCCACCGGGCCGGCCCGGCATACTTCTTGATAGATGAAGGGTCCCCTGAAGGCAAAAGTAAGTAGAGTCCATGAAAGTCACAACACAGCCCTGTGTCTCCTCTGCCAGCGGCCTGCCCTGCTCTGGATGGGGACAACACAGATGCAAAGAGGAACGTAGAAATACCAGAGGATGCTCATGGGACACCAGGAACCAGGACAGCCCCCCAGCTTCAAGCTGAGGCTAGAGACCCATGAAGGCCGGCAGACAGGACTTTTGGGATCTGCCTGGCATGGGCATAACTCAGTCAGAACAGAGGAAGTCTGGAGGATCCCCCGCCCTACCATGTCAGCTGCTTTTAGTGGCCAGATGGCAGAGGGCTAGTGGAGAGGGGCATCTGGACCATGGCCGCTTTTGTACTCTCAGGAAGTGGTCTGTGTGGATGTGCTGCATCTTATTTACCTCATCCTCCTCTGACGGAGATTCCACGTGTCTCTCTCAGTCCCTGCTCTGACACATAACCCCCAGCCCTGTGTCCTGCGAGTGACCCACACTAACTAGTGTCTCCTTTGAGTCTCTCATCCTCTCTGATTCAGATTCAGCCCCTAGTGAGTTCCTTTACTTTCCTTATCCAACCAAAATATTAGACCAATCCCTTAAAGTAGGCTGCATTGTTCCCAATTTACAGATAGGAAGACTGAGGCCCAGAAAGGTCAAGTCACATGCCCGGGGCCACACAGACAAAAGAGCAATGGCTCTTGACTTCTAGCCCAAGATTTTCCTTTCCTTTGCCTCCTTTAGGCTAACCAGGAGTGCACTGTCCCCTCTGGGAGTCCCTGAACTAACTCTTAAGACCGATGAGGAGGAGGTCGAGGGCAGGGTGCACAAGGACGTTGCCTGATAAACCCGGTCTCCTCCTGTTACAGCAGGGTATTGGGGTCAGGAAAAGCCAGTCCTCGTCCACACTCATTGCCTCCCCTCTTCCATACCTCTTGCTCTCTCCTCCACTCGCTGTGATTGGCTTCTGTGTCCCTAACCCACTGAGGCTGCCCCCACTGACCTCAGTGGCCTTCACATCTGCACAGACAGTGGGAAACCCTTAGGATTCATCTCCCTGGGACATTTGGCCTCCTGTGTACTCTGACCACTTTTATAATTCCTCAATGTCCCTGGATTACAGGACTGCCCCACACCCACCCACCCCACCAGTACCCTGGAGAGCTCTGGCTTTTCTCTGCTGGTCTCCAGCCCAGGCCTGACACCTACACCCATCTGGGATGGGTTGGACGGGCTCTGCAGAGCTCCCGCCTCAGTCCGCTGCTGTCATAGTCTGGGTTCTCTAGAAGCAGAGCCTGAGGTGGGAATTTAGAGGCATATGATTGATTGAGGGGTGTTCTCAGGAAGAGGGGCTGAGGGAAGCAGGATGGGACAGAGGAAGGAGCTGAGCAAGGATGCGGTCCACCCTGAGACCAGCTTCAGCCTGACCCCACCGAAGCCCTGCAACCGGAGCTGCACCTTCCTTTGTCCTGACCTGAGGCGGGGCCTGGGCTTGACATCCCCTCCTCAGTCAGTCCCTCTCCACAGGCGGCAGGCACAGGGAACCTAACCCCCCAGGCATCTCCTGAGGAGGCTGTGAGGGGGGCATCTGTGAGCCATTAGCAGAGACATGACATTCCACACCCAAACAGCTGGGGGATGGGAGCAGCAGCCCAGGGCGGGGGATCTGGGCAGGGCACTAACAGCGTCTACTAAGTGGTCCTTCTCCCCAGGGCCCCGCCCAGGGACCAACATCCCTCTAGCACCTCAGAACCAATGTGTTCAAAACCGAATTTGCCATCTCCCCCTACACTCATCTCATACCTGCACCAGGATCCTGAAGAGCCCTTGATCATTCTCTCAGGAAGTGCCACCATTCTGTAGCTCCTCAGGGAACCAACCTGCCTCATCCTCTCTGCGATGACTCTATCCCAGTCAGCCCCACACTCTGTCAGCCTCTGGGCCAACGCTCCTTCCACTCTCTCTTCCCTCCTCTGCTCTGGGCCACTGTCCTGGGGGGACATGTCCTTGCTGGTCTCCCTCACCATTCACCCCGCATAAACGCGCGCGCGCGCGCGCACACACACACACACACACACACACTCTGAAGCCAGGGTGGTCTGGCTAAGATGGACATGCGATCCGATCTCCTCCTGCTAAAACCATCACTTCTTCCTGTTGCTCTTCAGGACCTGGCCTATCTCTGCACTCAACCCTGACTCCCACCCCCTTGCATGCCTGCCTTGAGCACTAAACAGAGTGTCACTCCTCACACCTACCATGCCTGTCACTGTGCCTTTGCCTAAGCTGTCTTCTCCCTGGAACACCCTCCTTTCCCTCATGTTGGACTGGGTTCTCCTCCATGCAATCCCATAACACTGTGGGTGTCACTCACCCTTAGAACTCACCATTCAGAGCTTTACTGTCAAGAAGAACTGACAAGCCAAGGGTTCCAGGGCCTGATGCTCCAATGCCATTCATGAAAGGGTCTAATATTTGTTCTCTCATGGGTAAGAAGTTCTTGTAGCTGAATAGCCAGCACTCTTGCCAGCCAGTCACTTTAGAGGGCACTGACAAGGCCTGCAGACCTCCCTGCCAGGGGCCAGTGAGACTTCTGATCAAAGATTGAGATGGAAAAAATGTAAGCATCCATTCCTTTCTGGCATCAGTGTCATGTATGCATGTTGATCGCCTGGTACGTGGCAACGGACATCGGCCCAACATCCATCTAGAATATCAATGGACAAGGCAGGGCTGGGGGAATAGGAGTGTTGCCATGGCAGCAGGATGGGAAATCTTGGGAGGAAATTGGAAATGGATGTGATTAGCACAGGCCCACATCAGCCTGATGAGTGACCCTCTCTCAGTTTGAGCAGAGATGTGCCAGCGGTGGGTGCTGGTTTGTAACATTTGCCAGTTTCCATGGTGTAAATACTCCTATCATGGCCAATTTCAAGATACCGACAGTTTAACAACCAGCTCAAAAAGGTCTTGAAAACGTAACAATGGCCCTGGGAAGCCAGTTTCTTCTGCCACTGTGTTGTGATGATATAGAGTAAGACGCATCTTAGGTTCCTCTAACCTGCCTCAAATCAGCCGCACCGAATCACCAAGAAGCGAGCATGACAGACAACAAAGTAAACGGGATGTGAGATCCTGCCCTCTGTCTGTCTCAGAGAGAGGAGTCTGTGTCTTAGTTTAGGTTGACCCAGAATGAGCCCTAAGACAAGGATTCAAGTGGAAGCAGTTTATTTGGGAGGCAATTACAGAAAGCACCAGCAGGAGGGAGAGATGTGAGACACGGCAGGAGCAGAGGTCAGAAGAGGATATGTTCTGGGGCCAGCCCCGTGGCATAGCAGTTAACTGCGTGCACTCCGCTGCTGGCGGCCAGGGTTCGGATCCCGGGAGCCCACCCACACACTGCTTGTCAGGCCACGCTGTGGCGGCATCCCACATAAGGTGGAGGAAGATCTGCACGGATGTTAGCTCAGGGCCGGTCTTCCTCAGCAAAAGAGGAGGATTGGCATGGATGTTAGCTCAGGGCTGATCTTCCTCACAAAAAAAATATAAATAAATAAAATAAACTCACACCCTTGGAGCAGCTCCACCGCAGCACTCCAGTTTTTTAAAAAAAAAAGAAGAGGCTGTGTTCATGAACAGGTCATTGCTGTGGGCAACAGTGGCACAAGCCAGCTGGGGCCCTCTGGGAGATGTGTAACACATCTTGGAGTGGTGCTGCCCAATGGAGGAGGAAGGGAGGATATTTTTCCACCAACTCCCATGTATCACTAGTCGAGGCTGCTTTGAGAGTACAACCTCCCCAGTACTTCCAGTCTGTCCCATAGCAAAGAGCCACAGGTGCTTCTAGTCAGCTACAGCTGGTGAGTGGGCAGGACGTGGACAGTGACTGAAACACAGAGTGCAGCAGAGATGTGACTTGTGTGTCACTCTGCGTGTCTCCCCTGCCAGAGGTCTTCATCCCACTGAGCAGGATTCTTGTTTTTAATGTAGAAAATTTCTGTACTATTCAATTCCTAAACATGAGCCCACAATTCAATCTGCTACTCAGACAAAGAAACAGTAATGTGTCTCAGTGCCAGAGGAAAAGCCAGGAGTGGTGGGCTTTTCCAGAGTTAAGATTTTCAACAGAAATTGGAACTTTATGGGCATTGTACGAGCAGGCTGACCTTAGAACCCAGTCAGCCAGGAGACTGCACAGCATGTCTGTGAGTGCTTAACAAAATGCCTGGCTGCACCCTCAACTGTCACCTCCATATAAGCAGGTACAGCTCCGCAGCATCCCCATCACCCTCGCACACAGTTGGATCTCAAAGCCCTCTGGGTGTTCAAGTGGAGGGTGGGTGGTGTGTGAAGGGCATGGAGAGGGACCCTAGAATGGAGCCGTTGTGTGGACTCTTGGCCCCGCTGTCTCACCCCATTCCCCACTGATGGAAAAGCTGTGCCCACCTATCTCTGTGTTTTGTGCATGCACACAAACACACACACACACATGGTGGGGGGCTCCCAGAGTTAAGTCCTAGGTTGGTTGTGGTAAATGGGAGAAGGCTAGACAAGTAAACTGAAGCCTGGAGAAAGTTGCTTCCACAAGAATTTATTTTTCAGAGTCCGGAAGCCTGAGCTGGGGTAGCAGACCCTAGTGTGCTACATAGAACCTATGTAGAGGAAAACGCCAGAATCTGTCGTGAAATCTCCTAAACCCTTTACAAAGCCTCCGCAGACCTCTCCAGATAGACCTACGCAAACCGCGAAATCTCTTGACCTGCTGGGGCTGTGCACCAGAAGGAAACATGATCCGTGTGACGGCTGGAACCAGATTCAAGACCCCTCCCGACCTAGACACCCCCCTTCCTGGGACACACCAAGCAGACTTGGGGCCCAGTTCACACTCTGGCTGTGACCTTAGGAGCATGCAGTGAATCCCTATACCCACAAACAGGTGAGGAAACTGAGGCCTGGAGATGGCAAGGGGCTTCCCAGGGTCACACAGCCCATCCAGCAAAGCTGGGACAGGAGCGTGGGCTGAAAGCTCATTACTCTACGTCAGTGGCTCTCAACCTTCAGCAGCAGTCAGAATCCCTGGGGGCTTCATAAAATACAAATTCTGGGGCCCCACTCCAGGGTCTGATTCAGTAGGTCTGGTGGGGACTAAGAATCTACATTTCCGACAAGCTCACAGGTGAGGACCATATTTTGAGAACCACCACTCCAAGGAATTGCAGAGCCAGTCCTGAGACCTGAGCTCAGGTTGAGGGAGGACCCCAGGGTAGGAGGGGCTTTCTCTGCCCTGGATGGGACAATGGTTAATTGGTCCATAGAATGTTCCACACACCACCCCGTCATCAGCACCTCCAACGCAAATGGGCCACTCACCTCATCACAGCTGATGTTGAAAAAGTCCTTGCCTGGGTCCAGGATGACTGTCCCTGAACACTGTTTAACCAGCTAAGAATGGGAAGCTCCAGGTCAAACTGGCACCACCGTGTCATAACCTCCCAGCCTCACCCCGTGGCTGGAAATGTTCCCCGGAGCCCTCTTGTTCAGCAACTTGGGAGGCATCCACCAGCACCTCTAGCCCCAGATCCCCAACCTCATCCCATTCTCCTTGAAGGCACACTGCTCCAGTGGCTGCTGCGTCGTCTTAGGACACACAGTCTCTTTGACCGTGAAGCTCACAGGCGTTGGGGTGTCTGGATCCTCGTCCTGGTCAGGGGAGAAAGTGGGGAGTTGGGCTCAGGCTCACGCTTGCCTTCTCTGATCTGTCTCCCTGCCCCCACCACCAAAAGTGCAGCCCTTCAACAGCCCCTACTGTGTGCCTGGCACTGGGCTTGGTGCTGGGGACAGAGGGGAGGAGCCAGGGCCCATTCCTGCCCTCAGCAAGCACACAGAGTAGGAGTGGACCTCAGACAAGCTCTGATGAGGAGCACCTCCCCATCTGAGGGGGCTGAGGGAAATCAGGGGCTTCCTGGAGGAAAAGACGTTGCCACTGGAACCTCAAGGCTGAGCAGAGCTCTTCCCTGTGAGGGAGACAAAAGAGTGCAGAGGAGAAATAAAGGAGACAAGTCACAACCCAAGCCAATGACCCCACTCTTGTCCCTGGAACTCCCAGAAGTCCCTGAAGGCTGAATGGGGCTGTGGAGGGGGCACCTCTTCCCACAGTGGAGATCTAAGGCAGGAAGCTCTCATGCTGAGAGGGGACACAGCTCTGGGAAGGTTTCCTAGGAGACGTGGGACCACACTTAAAGGGAGAAGTGCCTTCCTGACAGGAGGGACAGCATGAGCAAAGGGAGTGACAGTGTGGCCAGACCTGACCAGAGCAGAGCCTCCCTCCCCACCGCCCGCCCCAGACTCACTCCCTTGGGCTGCGGGTCCAGCTCCAGGAGACGGTAGAGATTATCGTCTGAGGACCGCTGGTTGAGGCCATCCACAGCACGGAGCACGGCCTCCTCGTAGCTGAGGGCCTGAGCGGTGGCCGCAGGGATCACCAGGCCCAGCAGCAGTAGCCACAGTGAGCACCGCCCCAGGAACGGCTGTCCCTCTGGGTCTCCATGGTCCCCAAGTCTGCCTCCTCACAGCCTGCAGGACCCTCATTTTACCCAGCCTGGGACTGATGCAAAGGCCCAACCAGGAGCCTTCCTGACCTGCCCCATCACTGGCCCCCTACAGGATGTGGCCTGGGTTTCCCTCAGCCCCTGCTCTTGCCTCATGGGGCTTGCTGGACAGTGGGCGAGGTCTACCTTAGTGCAAGTGAAGAAATGCTTTCTCCATCTCCCTGACAATATCCTGGTCTCTCTGAGGCCCCACTGGGGAGTGTCATAGCCAAGATTGCTTAAGAGGGTTGAGTCCTCCAGGAGAGGAAGGGAGACAAGCGCCTATCCTACATGCTTCCCCCCTCCCCACCTACAGCCTCCTCAGGAATCAGGGTAATATAGTGTATTCACCACTAAATCTCCACCTCTAGGCACTGTTTGGCACCCAGTAGGCACTCAGTTAATAGTTGATGAATGAATAACAGTAACGACCCCTCATCTAGAGCCTCACCCACTAGCCAGTCCCAAGGGAGACTTTCAAAGGCCACACCATCCTGTTCTCTGGACACAGCCCTCAGCCAGTTCAGGGGCTCAGCTCCACCTGTCCCCTCTCCTGGATTCTTCTCCACTGCCTTTCTCAGTCTAAAAATGTCCCCAGCCCCCACCAGACGTGGCCTGTTGCCCTGGTCCCTCCTCAGCTGAGCCTGAAGAAGGGTCATCTACATTCGTTGATCCACTTCTTCACTCTCTCTCACACTCAAAGCCACTGCAGGCTGGTCTTCCCTCACTGGATCCAGTGGCCACTCTCAAGCCTTGTCTTTATCTATGGAGGCTCTGGGGACTCTCTATCCTCCTGAAACTGCCCCCTGCCCCATTCTCCCCTGATGCCACTCTCCTGCTTTCCCTCCTGCCTCCCTGGTGGCTCCTTCTCGGTCTCCTCCAAGGGCACTCCTATTAATAAGGAGAGCTGCATATGTGACAAAGCTACAGCTGACAGACACAGATCAGTGGAACAGAATTTAAAGCCCAGAAATAAAACCACACGTCCATGGACAGCTAATCTTCAACAAAGGAGCCAAGAACATAAAATGGAGAAAGGAAAGTCTCCTCAATAAATGGTGCTGGGAAAACTGGACAGCCACATGCAAAAGAATGAAAGTTGACCGTTATCTTACACCACACACAAAAATTAACTCAACAGGATTAAAGCCTTGAGTGTAAGACTGGAAACAATAAAAATCCTAGAAGAAAACATAGGCAGTACACTCTTTGACATTGGGTCTTAGCAGCATCTTTTCGAATACTGTGTTTATTCAGGCAAAGGACACAGAAGAAAAAATAAACAAATGGGACTACATCAGACTAAAAAGCTTCTGCAAGGCAAATAAAATTATGAACAAAATGAAAAGACAACCCACTAACTGGGAGAAAATATTTACAAATCATACATCCAACAAGGGGTTAATTTCCAAAATGTGTAAAGAACTCATAAAACTCAACAACAAAAAGACAAACAAGCAGGGGGTCGGCCCAGTGGCGCAAGCGGTTAAGTGCTCGCGCTCCGCTGCGGCAACCCAGGGTTCGCCGGTTCAGATCCTGGGTGCGCACCGACGCACTGCTTGTCAAGCCATGCTGTGGCGGCGTCCCATATAAAGTAGAGGAAGGTGGGCACGGATGTTAGCCCAGGGCCAGTCTTCCTCAGCAAAAAAAAAAAAGAGGAGGATTGGCAGATGTTAGCTCAGGGCTGGTCTTCGTCAAAAAAAAATAAAATAAAATAAAAATAAAAAATAAAACTAAAATAAAAAAAAAGACAAACAACCAGATCAAAAAATGGGCAGAGAATATGAACAGACATTTTTCCAAATATGATATACAGATGGCCAATAGACACATGAAAAGATGTTCAACATCACTAATTATCAGGGAAATGCAAGTCAAAACTACAATGAGATATCACCTCACACCCATCAGAATGGCTATAATTAACAAGACATGAAATAAGAAGTGTTGGAGAGGCTGTGGAGGAAACGGAACCCTAATTCACTGCTGGTGGGAATGCAAACTGGCACAGCCACTGTGGAAAACAGTATGGCGATTTCTCAAAAAATTAAAAATAGAAATACCATAAAATCCAGCTATCCCACTAATGGGTATCTATCCAAAGAACATGAAATCAACAATACAAAGAGATCTATGCATCCCTATGTTCATTGCAGCATTATTCACAATAGCCAAGATGTGGAAGCAACCCAGGTGCCCATCAACAGATGAAGGGATAAAGAAGATGTGGTATATACACACACAATGGAATACTACTTAGCCCTAAAAAAAGAGAAAATCGATTTGGAACAACATGGATGGACTTTGAGGGTATTATACTAAGCAAAATAAGCCAGATAGAGAAAGACAAATACCATATGATTTCACTTATATGTGGAAGATAAACAAACACATGGATAAAGGGACCAGATTAGTGGTTACCAGAGGGGAAGAGGGTGGGAGGGTGGTCAAAAGGTGTAAAGGGGCATGTATGTATGGTGAGGACAAAAGCTAGACTATTGGTAGTGAGCATGCTGCAGTCTATACAGAAACTGATATATAATAATGTACACCTGAAATTACACAAAGTTATAAACCAATACGACCTCAACAAAATAAAAATAAAAAATAAAAATAAGGAGGGCTGCAGAGATGCATCTTGGGCTGCTTCTCTGCCCAGTCCTCACATCTCCCTGGGAACACCAGGTATCATGATCAGACATCACCTGGTCTGTATCTCTCAGTTCAAGACCCCCATGAAGCCCCGTGTTTCTCCTCTCTGGGCCCCCTGGCCTGCTGTTTTGCTGGGTGTCGCTGCATGAGCCCTGAGCTGAAAGCCTGGGGAGCACCCGCCTGCTCCTACTTCCTCCTGGGGACACACCCTCTGACCTCCCCCACCACCCCAGCCCTGGTTCCACCACCATCTTCTCTCCTCTGAAGTGCAGACACAGCCTCCAGACTCCACCTTTTCTAGGTTCCAGGCTCTCCCCAGAGCACAGTCCACCCTCCACACTATTGTCCAGGGGCTCCTTCAAACCGCCAATTTGGCCATTTCACCCCCTGCCTTCAGGAGCCCACACCGCCCTGGTCTGGCCTCAAGGCCTGGATCTTGGTGCTCCCCATTTCCTCACCCACAGCCCTGCACAGCCCAGGCGCCAGGCTGCCACATACACTCCAACCACTCAGCCTCTGAGCCTCCTGCTCTTCCCCCATCTCTGCACCTGATCCCTCCGCTTGGGATGCCCTTCCACCCCGTGAAGACTTCCCTGACCTCCAACCAGACACAGCAACCTCCTCCCCTTTGCTCCTACAGTCTCCAAAAGTCTTCTCTAATTTGACACCAAGACTCCCTGTCCAGTGCTCTGGTTGACACACCAGGCTGGGGTGACTGGTGCTGGGAGGTGGAGAGAGCACAGCTGGGAGAGATGACGAGACAAAGTGATAGAGGGGTCCAGAGACATGAGACAACATCTAGTCCCAGCTCTCCTGTGGAATGGCTATGAGGTTGAGAGGCCTGGGTGGTTGTTGGCCTCAGTTGGCCTGTTTGCTTTTTGGGGCCTTCAACAGGGCACCTCGGAAGGTGGCAGCTCAGATGAATGCCACTGGTTGTGCACTCAGCCTCGGGAAGAGGAAGGAGAAATGGGCGTCTGTGCAACCTTGTTGCACAGTCCAGGAATTGCCCCAGTGGCCTCTTGGCCAAGTAGGCCTTGTACATCAGGAACCTTCATAGCTGTTGGGAGGAGGGTCATCTTAGGACATTGGACCCCACAGGGCTCGCCTTGCTCCCTGACATTCCTTGTTCGTTCAGGGTTCCCAAGGAGCCAAACCGGGAGAGAAGTGGGTATCAGTGTTAGTCATTAGACTGTGGCATGAGCCCTGCCCAGTCCTGCAGTCCTCTGGGTCAGATCCAGCACATCCAGAGTCCCTTCCCGACTGGCTGAAGGGGACATTCTGCCTTGGCCAATACCAGACACTCCTCTCACTTGGAATCAGCCAGAGCCAAGTGGCTTCCACAGGTCCTCTGATGCAAGTCAGAAGTCTGGATCCAGGGGGACCCTATTCCTTCTCTGCGTCACAGCACAGGGTCCAGGTTCCAGAAGGGAGACCTGTCCCAGGCCGAGGACCACTGAGTGGGTGTCCACTCCGTGAGGAGGGAGGCTGACTCACACCCTTAGAACCCAGGGTTGCCCTCTCTGCTGGGGAGGATGGGAGGGCTCTCCCCAGCTTGCCTTTCTCATAATGTCTCACCCCTTAACAAGGTGATCAGAAGATTCCAGATCAGAAAGGAAAAAGCAAAGAAGCTTTTTCACATCAGGTCTGGAGAGATGGAGAGAGCTCCTGTCAGTGTGGTCAGGGAGCTTGGTCCACGGAGGCTGCTGAGGGCTCTGGGAAGCCTTCCATTGATTAGCAGATACTGGAGCCCCCCTCCCCCACTCCAGAATCCCTCCCTCACCTGGAACAAGACCCACCTTAGTCCCCTCTCTCCATTCCTTCTCCAGCTCCCTGTCCAAAGTCGTGGAGACTAAAGAGCCAATGGTGGCGTTGGTTGAGGCACTGACCCCTCAGGCCTGCTCACCCCTGAGATGACCTGTGTCAGGATGGTCAGCTTGTCGGAAATGGAGGACTATACAGACAGTGTGGTCACTCTCAGTGAGCACCTTATCCATCCTCAGCCTCTGTCTCTGTGGGAAAGCTGTTGTCCCTCCCTGTACCCAGAGTCCCCAGTCAGCAAGCCAGGAAGCCCAGGACTTGGGAGTCACAGAACAGAGGCTCCTGCACCTGGCTGCCTGGGGTCCAGGCTCAGCCCTGCCGTGACCAGCTGTGTGGTCTTAGGCAATGTTATCCACTCTGTGCCTCAGTTTCCTCATCGCTAAAACAGGGATGATAGTTACACTGTCCAGTTTATAGAGTCATTGTGAAGGTCAAGCACAATGTGGTGTGTGCTCAGGACAAGTCAGTATATTGTCAGTGTGAGCTCCGGGGTTAATACCTCAGAAGGAAACACGAACAAGGAAGTAGGGAAATTGGGGTGACTCAGCAAGAGCTGCCCTCCCTCAGGACATCAGAATCCTCTAAAGTGAGGGCTTTACACAGATGGTCCCCAAGGACCCTTTGGACCCTTTGCATTTTTCAGGATCAACCTCAAACAAATGGGGCTCTAAAGGGGAGACTTCAGGGACCAGCTTAAGAGAAAGACCTTATCACAGAATCTCAAATCCTAGTGCGGGGGGGCTGATCGGGAAGGCTCCCAAGGCCAACCACTGCAGGAATCTCCCTCCCCACCATGGATAAGTGGACACGCAGGCCTCACGCCCACGTGAACCCTCCAGAGAGCAGAGGGAAGTAAGACAGACAACGTGCTCACTGATCAGTTTCTTTGTTCTTGGGCACGTCACTTAACCTGCCTGCGCCTCACTCTGCCATGAAATGAGTCCAGTGAGGGCTCCTGGAGGGCGGTGAGGACGACAGCAGCAATGAGTGTGCGGAGACACCTGACACGGAGCACGTGCTCATGAACTACCCGAGCAGCCAGCCCACCCCCTGCAGCGGACCCAGGTGGACTTCCAACTCTGCAAAGCAGCCCAGGGAGGGTGGTGCCCCGGCGTGGTCCTGGCAGCACAGGTGGCTCAACCTGCACTTCTGGCAAGTTGCCTCTCCTCCCTGAGCCACAGTTTTCTTGTGCAAACTTGGGGACAGAAACCCTAACCCGGCTGGACAGCAGTGTATTGGAGTCAGGTGCATAGTCAGGGACACGTGTGCCCATGCCCTGTGGTCTTCGAGGGCACCAGCCACAGGGTCTGCCCAGACCCCACAATTCTGCCCTCCACTTTTCTTTCACATGAAGGACTGGACTCTCAAGAGACCTGGAGTGGGTGTCCCAAACCCCATCCTTTTCTAGGTGTGTGACTTTGAGGAAGTCACTTTGTTTCTCTGGCCTCGATGTCCTCATCTGTAGGATGGGAATTACATGCCCTGCATGGTTTGCATGGGGACAAGTGGGATAGTGAGTGAGAAAGAGCAAGTTCACCATCAAGTCCTGCACTCCCAGGTTGTTTTCCTGAGTGAGGTCATGGTCAGGTCTCCTTGTTCTGCGATGGCTCTAGCCCAACTGTCGCCTAACAGACATATGCACACAAGCAATCGTGGGAGCCCTGTCTCCTTGCCAACAACTCCACCCACTGCCCCGGCCCCTGCCACATTTCTACTCAGAGGCAGCCTCTCCAGGAAGTCGGCCCCAATGTCACCCCCAGCCGGCACCCTCTGTGATGCACCCAACACTCAACACCAGGATGAGAGACAGCTCCCCAACTCCCCTTCAGTCTCAGGCTGGGTCATCTGTCAGGCTGGTCCCCAGGGTAGGACCCCCTGTCTCCTCAGACAAGAGTCATGGAGGCCCGGGCTGCCCCCTCACACTGGGACTCCCCCATTCATCCCTTCTTTCCCGCTTCCCAATGGTGGGACTGCACCTCCCCTCGGGCCAAGAACCTCCCAAATGTGACAGCTTTGTCTGTCCCTCAGACAGGGGCTCCCAAGGACAAGACCCTGCGTTTCCTGCAGCCCACAGGCTCCACAGGACCCTTTTTCTCCTTGGCCCCATGCCAGGACGTGGCACTGGGCTCTGCCTCAGAAGGGCCCAGGTGGGTGAGGGCAGCAGCCAGCAGGTCCAGAGCCAGGTTCAGAAAACATTTGTCAAAGACGACAGCACGTGGTGGGGATGGGTAATTTCTAGTCAATATGCCTTTGTTTCCTGGAGTGATTCCCAAGAGGGGCCTGGGACATGGTGTCCAGGGAGGTGGAAACTCTGTCCAGCCACAACGAGGAGCCCTGGATATCACCCAGATGTCAGATCACAGGGCCCATCTGTCTTCCCTGGGCGTGGGATGTGGGAGTGTCAAACCAAAGAGTGATTTCTCCTGGGAAAGGCCAAGGCAGCTGTGGACGATCATACCGTGTTCTGTGCAGGAATATCCATCCAGGGCCAGTGGCCTATTGCATAATCCAGGCTGCCTATGCCCACACTTGCCACAATGAGGAAGATGAGACCTCAAGCTTCCTACCCTCACAGGCCTTCCTGCTGGCCAAGTGATCTTGCCATGAGCTATCCCCTATTCCCAGCCTCTTCCCTTGTCATTGATCTCTAAAACCGCTGCACCTCCACACTCAGTGCCTGCAGGCGGCAGGGGACTGTGTGCCAGGCTGCCCGCTGCGCCCCTCCTGCTCAGTGACCCCCGACCCTCAGTACTGCACTCTGCCTCATCCTCTGACTCCTCCCTGCCCCCAGCCCCAACCAGCTTTCCTCTCGCCCATCAGACTTACTCATTTCTGCTCTAATGCAATTAGGTCCCTGTGGTGTCCAAGACTGTAGCCACAAGCACAGCTGGCAATTTAAATTTTAATCCAAATTAATTGAACTTAAGTAAACTAAAAATCAATCCCTCAGTCATCCTTGCCCCATTTCCAGTGCTCAATAACCCCCTGGCACAACCCAGTCAAATCCCAGCTCAGATGTGGCCGGGGTTCTCCTTCCTCGGTACTCCCCCGTGGCAGAACCCCTAGAGGAGGCCAGGGCTGGGATGATGTCCCTCTCCGCGCTCTGCCTCCACCCAGACCAGGCCTTCTCATGCCCCTCTATGTCCCAGGGCCTGGCCCTCCGTCCATCCTTTTTGTCACTGCCAGTTTATGATACCAAGGGCCGGGTCACATCACCCGGGTCACAGGTAGACCTGCAATTGGAACCTCACACAGCTGATCGTGCAGATACGCAGCCCTGAGGAGACAGTGAAGCTGGGCTGGCAATGCCACCTTAGCTCAGCTGTGACCTTCCTGACCGTACCTCACAAGAAATCAGAAGGAGGGTGGCAGAGGCCACAGCATCAGAGGAGGAATCTGGGAGGAGGGTGGGCCTGAGATGGAAGAGAGCTCCAGAGCCAGGGGCACAGCCTGAGCAAAGACGTAGAGGCCAGCAGGGGCTACAGGAGGGGGCAGGAGGGGAGGGAGTGGTGGAAGCAGTGACAGAGGGGACGGGACATTGGTCCCCAAGAGACTCAGCGGGGGCCCCGAGCAGGAAACTGAGGGCTTCCTGGAGCCTGAGCAGGGCAGGGGAGGTAGGTGGGTCAGGAGGTTGCCCAGGGTGGGACTCCAAACTCCAGAGGAGCCTAGGACAGAACCAGCCCAGCTAGGACATCACCGAGCACATGGGCACCAGGGACACCTGAAGAAAATCAGCTGGATGGAAAATGTCCCGGAGTCGATGACCAAACATCAATTTTCTAAATGACCCTTTCCCACCACTGACTAAATTAACTGATTTGTCCAAAATGTGTATAACGTAACTATGTGGACTGGGGGACGAGTGGAGTCACAGGGCCTGAAAGTGTTGGAGGAGCCGGGTCTCAGGGTTCCAGGGACCCCAAACCCTCCCAGTGTCCTCAGCCTCCCCCTCTCTGTCTCCCTCTTTCCTTCTTTTTTTTTTTTAATAATTTTATTTATTTATTTTTCCCCCAAAGCCCCAGTAGATAGTTGTACGTCATAGCTGCACATCCTTCTAGTTGCTGTATGTGGGACGCGGCCTCAGCATGGCCGGAGAAGCGGTGCATCGGTGCCTGCCCAGGATCCGAACCCGGGCCGCCAGCAGCAGGGCGCGCGCACTTAACCACTAAGCCCCAGGGCCGGCCCTGTCTCCCTCTTTCAAGTGTCACCATCCCAGGTGATGTTCCCATGTCTGCTCTAACTGATTATGAAGAGACATAACAGCACACCTAGTAAAACTGCACAGAAACCTTCAAAAAGTTCAAACCATCTCCTATCACGTGAATTGCTGTAAATTTTATGAAACGTTTTAAGACTCTTTTCAGTTCATTGGTACATTTGCTAGATAATGTGAATTGGTCATTCGGAAAAATAGAGCAGTGTTCTTAAAATACCAAAATGAAGGCACAATAGAAAATGACAATAATCTGTAAGCGAGAGAAAGTGAACTAGGGGCCGGCATCGTGGCGCAAGCGGTTCGGATCCCGGGCACACACCAACGCACCACTTCGTAAGCCATGCTGTGGCGGCGTCCCATATAAAGTGGAGAAAGATGGGCACAGATGTTAGCCCAGGGCCAGTCTTCCTCAGCAAAAAAATGGAGGAGGATTGGCAGATGTTAGCACAGGGCTGATCTCACAAAAAAAAAAAAAAAAAAAGAAAGTGAACTAAAATTTTCAGTTATAAAGAGCTAAAGTTATTATTGTACAGCAAAGAAGAATATGTTCACTGTCTACATTAAAAAGATAAATGTGCAAAAAAGAATAAACAGCCCAAACTCAGCATTCAATCTCTTTAACACATCTGAGAAATGTCCCTACCAAAAACGTGTTCATAACATATACTTGGAATGAAGGATCATTAAAACAAAATGTTGGTAACTTCAGTAAACTAAGAGATTTAATCTTTAGGCATCAGACTGCTCCTGCTGGGGGATAGGGCTCAGGCAGGTCATGGGAATCCCGCCCTACTCCCCAGGATCCCTCCTTGCTCCACAAGACCTCGCCCCCCTCCATGGGATTTTCTCTGGGCCTCAGGGTCTCACTCTGCTCCCTGGGGTCTCTATCTGATTCCCAGGATCCCTCCCTGCTCCTCGGAATCTCTGCTGACTCCCCATACCCTCAGATGCAGGGTTCTGACCACTCCAAATTGCTCAGCAGGCAATCCCATTTGCATCTAGTCCTGGTTAATCTGAGCAGCAGCCCCTCTTTGACCCTTGCACGTCTGGTCTTCTGTGGCAGCATCCCTGACAATGCAGGGCTGTCACCAAGTTAAAAGTTCTGGCTTCTCAGCCACAACTGGAGCAGATTTGGGGAGGGGTCTTGTGATCTCTGTGGCTGTCGCTTCTATTAATTTCACCAAAGTGAAACATTGTGAGCAGAGACTGGGGCCCCTTGTGTCCTGCACCCCTCACGGCCTCACCATGGCCATGTGGTCTATGGAGTCTGGCCACCTGACTCCAAGGATGTGACCTGTGTGTGTGGTCACTACTGAAGCTGGCTCTCCTGCTGGCCCCACAGTCATGGCAGCAAGGGCTTCAAGGAGTTGCTTCAGGATTTCCTCAGAGAGTGGAGATTTTAATTGCCTGGGATACAACATGTGCTCATGACTGATTTACTGGCTTGGTAAGGTCTTCTTTAAGAAATAAGAAGAGCTCTAAACACACATACAAGCGTGTGACAGTGCTGACTATTGCAACTCCCCATTGTTCAGTAGGGATAACCAAAGCCCCCAGAGAGCAAGGGAGAAGGGGGCTTAGCAGGGCCCTAGGGGTGGAAGGGGCAGGGCTGGGGCTCCACCCCCAAGCCAGTGCTCTTTCCACCACACACAGCACCCACAGCCATCCAACACTAGAAGGCCGTCTGGAGCTTTGTGATCTGGCCCCTGGCCTCATATCCAGCCCCAGCACCCTCCAAACCTGCAGAGACACAGTGGAGCCCCCACACAAGAGGCTCCTTTCCTTGACTGGAACAGCTTTCTCCCACCCCTCACCCAGCCTTCTTGACATGCAGAGTCCTATGCTCCTTAGCGCCAAGGCTGCCCTCCTCAGTAAAGCCCACCCTGACCGTCCTCGCCCCCAAGCTCCCGGGGCTCCCTGCACACAGTTCTCCCTCAGCACTTCACCCCACAGTGGAGTCTCTGTGGGAGTCATGAGGGGTGTGAAAATGTCATGATCGAGACAGCAAGTACAGAAGTCCTCTTGGGGAATCTGGGGACATACTCAGTAAGCTGATGAGGTTGTCAGCAGGAGAGGAAATGAGACTTTCTTTGCTCCTGAGAGGGGCAGGGCAGAGAAGGATGGGGAGAGAAGCACCAGGAGGACCTGAGGGAGGGAGAAAGGGTTTGAGGCTGGGGCTGGGAGACCCAACTGACATGGGAGCCACGTCCATTTGCTTGTGTACCTTCCTCCAGACTGTGGGCCTCCAAGGGGTGAGTCTGTTCATCTGTGGCCCAGGTCTCAGTGGGCCCTGCACCACAGAGGCACTTAGTGTGGGGTCGATAGATGGGGACCCGGCTCTGTGTGCTCTGGAAAGCACAGGATTCTCCCAGGCCCACCCCACAGAGGGGGCACCGGAAGCTGAGCCAGGAAAGACATGAGCAGCCCAGCAGCAGAAGTGTCCTCAGCTTCTCCACACGTGAGCGGGGGAAATGGACAATGTCCTCTGAAGAGAAACTGGGAAAACTCCTCAAGAAAGTGGATCTTCTGCTCCCCTGGGCTGGGGACAAATGAGAGAGGTCTGGGGACGTTGGTTCTGAAGGCCATGCCATAAAGTGGTCAAGGGCACGGACACTGGAGTCAGAGTGTTCAAGTTCAGGTCCTAGCTCTCCACTTACTTGCTGTGTACTGTTGGGCAAGCAGCTACCCAACCTCTCTGTGCATCTATTTCCCTCTCTGTAAAATCGGCCTTGGAGGGGCCAGCCCTGTGGCTTAGCGGTTAAGTGCGCGCATCCGCTACTGGCGGCCCGGGTTCGGATCTGTGCGCACACCGATGCACCACTTGTCCAGCCATGCTGATGAGGCGTCCCACAGACAGCAACTAGCAGGATGTGCAACTACGACATACAACTATCTACTGGGGATTTGGGGAGAAAAAGGGGAAAAAAAGGAGGAGGATTGGGCAATAGATGTTAGCTCAGGGCCAATCTTCCTCAGCAAAAAGAGGAGGACTGGCATGGATGTTAGCTCAGGGCTGATCTTCCTCACACACACAAAAAAAAAAAGGTGAGGGGTCCGGCCCGGTGGCGCAAGCGGTTAAGTGCGCACGCTCCGCTGCGGCGGCCCGGGGTTCGCCGGTTCGGATCCCGGGCGCGCACCGATGCACCGCTTGGAAAGCCATGCAGTGGCAGCGTCCCATTTAAAGTGGAGGAAGATGGGCACGGAGGTTAGCCCTGGGCCAGTCTTCCTCAGGGAAAAAAGAGGAGGATTGGCAGATGTTAGCACAGGGCTGATCTTCCTCACACACACACACACACACACAAAAGAATTGGCCTTGGAGAGTGCAGACCTCAGGTGGCTGATAAGGATGAGGTCTGATAAAGGAGTCAAAGCAGGTAGAAAAGTTGGTACATGGTGGCCCATAACTAATGCTCCATGTTGTTATGATCAACAGGACAGAGAGCTGCCCCCAAGGGCTAGTCAGGACCTTAGACCTGGAGTCAGGCAGACATGAGCTTGAATCACTGTTTGCCTCTCACTAGCTGTGACTTCCTTTGAAAACTTCTGCCCTGGTAGGCACTCTCAGCAGCAAGTGAGAGTGAACCCAACTCAGATTGCCTCGGGCATAACTGAGAAGCCCAAAGTGAGAGCAGGATAGCAAGCTGGAGAACTGGTCCCTCTGGACACCAGCTCCATTTCCCGCAATACCCTTGGCCAGGTTCTTGCTGGAGAAAGAGGAGAGGTGAGGGAAGGGGAGAGTAAAAGAGGCTGGAGTCAGGGGTGGGCAGGACCTCTGAGGTGCAGGAGCTAAGTCCTGAGACAGGCAGGCTGGGTCCTGGGCACTCTCCCCGCACTCACTCCTAACCCAGCAAACAGACAGACCAGCCCAAGACATGGGAGCTGATGGTCCTACAGAGGCTGCTGCAAGATTATTGTCACCACCTGGTCCCCAACCTGGGTCTCCCACCTTTCCCAGTCCCCTTCCATTTCCCCTCCAGTCTGGTTGAGCCAGATGTTCTTTCCCATCATGCTCTGCACTTAAAACCCCCACACTGGACAAAGCACAGCCTCACCTGTGTTGAGACACCTGTCATCCCAGCCCTGGAGCCCTGGACTTCCAGGCAATCAAAGCAAAGTGGTATAAGAGAAGGAGCAGGGGCCAGGGCTGAGCGACCTGGGTTCTGGTCCTGCCCCTGCCCCACCTGCTGACCACCTGTGTGAACTTAAACAAGCCTTTCACCAGCTGCACCTCCTCCTGGTTATGAAATGGAAGATATTACACCTGCATGGAAGACCCTTCTCTCCTCCATGGAGGAATTCCTCCCATATGAACTTCAAGGCGAGGAGTCAGAGATTCAGTCTCCATAGAGCCTTCCCCGACTACTGGGGAAAAACGGGACAGCAGCTATCCACTCCACTCCCATCATCCAGGATATGCTCCTTCGGACAAGCCCTGGCACAGCACAGACCATTATGAGTGTGCCCCTAAGTCCCACTTGTCACGAGTCTCCTCAAAGATGCTCACTCAAGTGCATGAGGAGGCATGCACCA